GGCTAATTCCTACCATCTTGTATTTTTTTTAGTTTTCTTTTTTTCTTGTTTTTTTTTGGGGGGGGGTCCAGTCGTGGGGCCTGTACTCTGGGCCTGGGCGCTGTCCCTCAGCTCTTCAGGTCAAGGCCAGCGCTCTACCACTTGAACCACAGCACCACTTCCGGCTTTTTTCTTTTTGCTTATGTGGTGCTGAGGAATCGAACCCAGGGCCTCATGCATGCAAGGCAAGCGCTCTACCACTGAGCCACCTTCCCAGCCCCTTTTTTTAGTTTTCTTACTGATAGATAAATATGGGAACTAAGAGTACTTACAGTTTGAATTTTTTTCTTTAAAAAATTTAAAAAGTTGTTATTATAAAAGTGATGTAGGGAGAGGTTACAGTTACATTTCTTTTTGGACAGTGTTACCCCTTCCCTTGCTTTCTCCTAGTGTTTTCCTCCTGAGTTTGAATTTTTTATGATTTGATTTTTTTCAGGATTACTTTTCTTTTGAAGTTTGCAACTTAACTATAGATTTTCAAAAAAAATACTTAGAGTTATATACATATATTTTTTTGGTTGGTCATGGGGTTTGAACTCTGGGCTTGGGCTCTATCCCTGCTCTCTTCAGCTCAAGGCGAGCGCTCTACTGCTTGAGCCACAGCACCATTTCCGGTTTTCTGGCGGTTAATTGGAGATAAGAGTCTCACGGATTTTTCTGCCCGGGCTGGCTTTGAACCATGATCCCCAGATCTCAGCCTCCCGAGTAGGTAGGATTACAGGCGTGAGCCACAGGTGCCCAGCCTTGGAGTTATATTTTTATCCAGCAAGATAGTCACATTCTAGTTACCATGAGTGAATTTCCACTTGTATAAATGTTCTTCATTTTGCAGTGAAAGATACTCTCAGGGAATGCATCTATCAAGAATGGCTCAAATAGTTCTTAAGTACTCTTGAAATAAACTTCAAGAGAAAACAGACTTGTGCTAGAAATTTCATTTCTATTTTAGACTTTAGTTATAGTCATTTGAAACTCTTGTGCGTAGTATATTATTCCTAGCTTGATAAATTTTGATGCTGAGGAAGCTTATGTTGAAGAGAAAATCAAAATGTATCATCAGTTTCTAAATCTGGAACATGATGCTCCTCTCTGAGGCTTATTCATGACTTGTGGTGGTAAAAAAAAAATCAGAGAAGAGGGTTCCACTGGTCAGCAGTGGCAGACTGTGTTTCCACATCTTATACCAAATACACACACACACACACACACACACACACACACACACACACACACACACACACACACAGTTTATCAAGTAGCTATACATGATTGATATCTGAAAAGCACAGCTTTGAAGCTCTTACTTGGGGCATCAGGAAATCCCAGTACCTTTCACAGTACCTTGTATGGAGTGACTGTTGTATACAGTATATAGCACTTCAGCATTTTCTGTAGTGTAATTTTTATAAGGTAGTTAGGTAATTTTTTTTTTAGATGAGAAAGCAGATACAGGGGTTGGGAAGATGGCTCAGTGGTAGAGCTCTTGCCTTGCATGCCTGAGGCCCTGGGTTCGATTCCTCAGCACCACATAAGCAAAAAGAAAAAAGCCGGACGTGGCACTGAGGCTCAAGTGGTAGAGTGCTAGCCTTGAGCTGAAGAGCTGAGGGACAGCGCCCAGGCCCAGAGTACAGGTCCCACGACCGGACCCCTTCCCCCCCCCAAAAAAAAACAAACAAACAAACAAACAGAAAGCAGATACAAAGAGACTGAGACCTTACTCAAGGGTGGTGAGTACTAGAGCCTAAGTCTCAAGTCTAGATTTTGTTTAGCTTTTTCATATGTTCAGTGCATTTAGAGGAAGGTAGGGTTTAGAAAGAGGGAAAAAGTATGTTCATTCTATCATAAATTCTTCATGAATGTGGGTAAAAGATCATAAAAAATGGTATCCATGGTGGTAGTATTGGGTCCTGATCTTAGCTCTGCTGCTTGTGGGTTGCATGATCTTAGATAAGCCCATGGGGCTTTCCTCTGCCTTCATTCCTCTTCTGTGAAATGGATGTAGAAATAGTGGTACTGTACTCAAAGGACTGCTACAGGAGTAAATCAAAGGAGTTAATGTTGTGAACTTCTCAGAGCAGTGGCCGTGTAGCATATAGTACTTATCATGGAAGGTTGACTAGATTGGAAGAATATGGGTAATTATCACAAGCTAATGGACCTTAGAAAGTTCTAAATCTGTATCACTTAAGCTTCTGATGGTAAGAAGTTGAGCATGACGGAAGTTGTTTGTTTTTGCTTACTTGCTTCAGTCTTTTGCTAGTTACTGAAACCCTACCAGACCTCAACTTTTTCAGCTACATTTATTGTCCTCTTCTGGAGCCACTCTCTACCTGTCCTTGTTAAAACTCTTTTCTAAAATCCGGTTTTCCCAAAACTCTATAATGATGAATTACTTAAGTCTTCTTCCTAATAGCCTGCTATAACTTATACTTTCTCCCCTGCAAAGCACATAGCCAAAGTGTGTGAACCCTGAGAATTCAGATTATATTTACAGCCTACAAATTTTCATAGTTCTTACCACACACACACATACACACACACACGTATTTATTTAGTTTTTGTCAGTTGTGGGGCTTGAACTACACACATGTATTTATATACACACATGATTAATTCTACCTACTTAGGAGGCTGAGATCTGAGGATTGCAGTTCAAAGCTAGCCCAGGGAGGAAATTCCCTGAAACTCTTATCTCCAATTAACTGCCCAAACAGCTGGAACTGGGGCTGTGACTCAAAGTGTTAGAGCACTAGCCTAGTGCCCAGGTCCTGAGCTTAAGCCCTAGGACTAGCACAAAAACAGATTATCCTAATCAAACTCATGTTACTTCCATTTACCTCTTTTCCCCCTTCGTAGCACAGTTTCCACAAGTTTCATTGTTCTATTTTCATATGTGTAAATAAACTACTTTGACCATATACATCTTCATTTTCCCTTTCCTGTAGCTCTCTTCCTTCCCAGTTCCTGAGTAGAGCCTGTTTTACTTTCTTGTCATTCATTTTCTTTTTTTTAAGTATGTATTAATAGTACCAGGAGGTTTCACCTTGGTATGTCAGACATGCATATATTATAATTTGAATAACCTTCTCTATTGGGTTCTTTTTCCTCACATCCGCCAAGCCCCATATTGATTTACAGCTTTTATTGAAGTTGCTTATGTCATCTTCATACATACATACATATTTTGACATTATTCACCCTCTATCTTTCTTTCCCTTTCCTTTTTCCCTCATTCACAGGGGTAGGGAACCTTTTCTCTGTTAAGGGTATTTTTTTTTTTTTTTTTGCTAACATTATTATGAGCCACCTGCCAAAATTATCAATATAGGCCATGGGCAGATGATGACACACATTATGTACCAAATAATTCTTTCAGCCTTATATAGTCCATGGGCTGGAGGTTCTCCTACCCCTGCCACAGTCCCATAGTTACAGTCATGTTCTGTGTATGTGTATAGACATGCATATTTATGAATATGTATGTTTTTTAGGTCTACTTTCCACAGATGAGTAAAGTCATATGATAATTGGCTTTTGAACTTGGCTTATCTGACTCAATGTGCCGTTCTCCAGTTTCACCCATTTTTCTTCAAATGACATGATTTCATTTTTCTTTATGGTTGTATAATATTTCATGGTGTGTGTGTGTGTGTGTGTGTGTGTGTGTGTGTGTGTGTGTGTGTGTTCCACTCCTCTGGTGTGAGACACCTTGGCTGATTTTACAGTTTGGCTCTTGTGAAGGGTGTTGCAGTGTTTCAGTAAGCTTGTATACAATATACTTGTATTTAAGTACCTTCTTTGGATATTGATTTATACTCCTTCACATTTATGCCCAATAGTGGTATGGCTGGTTTTTTGTATTTAAAGACCATGCTATGTACTTTACGAGAATTATCCCAAGTCCTTAAACTTCTAAGCCTATGCAGGGGTAGGAAGTCTTTATTTCTGCCATTTGGATATATATAACATTTATGGGCCATACAAAATGATCAATACAGGCAGATGGCTGTAAGGCAGCTGAAGAGAAATATGTATGTCTGTCCTGCCATGTACTGAATGATTTTGTGCTCCTTGTATGGCCTGCAGGCTGGATGTTCCTCATGGGGCCCAGGCTAGGGGACATAAGGCAAAAAAAAAAAAAAAAAAAAAAGAAATAAAGTTGAGAGAGAAACTTCGCCAAGGGACCTACCTAGTTAAAGATGGAGTCATGGTTATGGTTAAACTGTGATTCCTTAACACACAGCATCTTGACTTTCCATGGAGAGTTGGTTTTAGAATGAAAGTACCTAAGGGACACACTTTCTGGAGCTGTGAAGTGTGAAGACTTCAAAGTCCCAGGTGCAATTGGTACTTCTTAAATTTCATATTGGAGAGGGAAAGGTTTAATAATGTTATACTGATTTTGACTTTCCATTAAAAAAGTCTGAAGTGCAGTAAAATATATTTTCTTTTAAATATTATCTTTTAAAAAAAGTAGTTGAATTGATTCAGCATATATGTGTATGACCTAACAGCCATGCTACATTGAAACCTGTCTCTCTGTTGTTTTTTCAGATACTTGTTTTGCTTTTTTATATTGTGCTCAGTCCAGATGGCAGCACAGGTCATCCTACAAGCTATTTTTGTCTAGTAGATAGTAAATTCAAGCTAGTAATATGAACTCAACAGAGTTCTTTTGCATTTCCTGGTACATGCTTTTCTTAATATTATTAGCTTTTTCTTTATAACATTTAGTCCTGGCACATTGTGATTTTGACAGTGGCATTACATTTAGACTCTACATGGTATGTTAAACCCCATCAGCATTTCCAAATCTTCTATTTCTATAGACATGGCTATACCCTTTAAAATTGAATGCAGATAACAGAATCAATTAGAATGCTAGAATTATATCCTTTTCTTTAAATGAATAATAATTTTGTAAGTAACCGTTAATTTTGTTTTTCTGTTTTTAACTGAAGTACCAGAAGAAAACATTGCAACTATGAAGTATGGAGCCCAGGTTGTAAAAGGGGAGCTGAAGTCTGCCTTGCTCGATGGTGACACTCAAAATTATGATTTGGATCATGGGTTTTCTAGGCACCCAATTGATGATGACTGCCGTTCAGGCATTGAGATTAAGCTAGGTCAGCCATCCATCATCAACCACATACGGATACTCCTGTGGGACCGAGACAGCAGGTGAGTCATTTATGTGACATAAAGAGAAACTTAGCTGACTTCATGGTCGGCCACTTTGGTTTTACAGATTTCAGTTTATTTCTTTATGATCATTTTTACATTTCTCTTGAAGTTCTGTGGGAAGAGTTAAGGTTATATTCCTTTTAAAAACAGTTTTTAAAACTGTTTATAAAACTGAATATGTGTTTGTTGTGGAAAGCATAGAAAATATCGAAAAGCATATCAAAATTGTTAGTAATCTCAACTGTTATTGTTAAAATTTGGATCTACTTAGCGTTTTTTTTTTTGTTGTTGTTGTTGTTGTTGGTTGTAGGGTTTGACTCAGGGGGCCTGGGTGCTGTCCCTGAGCCAGTTTGTGCTTAAGGTGAGTGCTCTACTACAGTGCCACTTCTGGTTTTTGAGTGGTTAATTGGAGATAAGAGTCTCACAAGGATTTTTCAGCCTGGCTGGCTTTGCACTGCTATCCTCAGATCTCAGCCTCCTGAGTAGCTAGGCATGAGCCACTGGTGCTCAGCTCTACCTAGCATTTTTTAACTTCTACCTGTATGTGGCTTTCAAAGTAAAGATTACATACCAAAAGCTGATCTCATCTTTTTTCTCTCTCTGCCCCCCTCCCCATTTTTTTTGTACTGGTCCTGGGGTTGAAGTCAGTTGTGCTTTCCTTGAGCTTTCTTGCTAAAGGCTAGTGCTTTACTACTTGAGCCACTTTTCCACTTCTGGCTTTTTGTTGATTTCCTGTCCAGGCTGACTTTGAACCTCTATCCTCAGATCTCTCAGCCTCCTTAGTAGCTAGGATTACAGGCATGAGCCACTGGTACCCAGCTTCAGTAGCTTTCTTTTTTTTTTTTTTGTCGGTTGTGGGGCTTGAACTCTGGACTTGGGTGCTGTCCCTCAGCTCTTCGGCTCAAGGAGAGTGCTCTGTTGCTTGAGCCACAGTGCCACTTCCAGTTTTCTAGTGGTTTATTGGAGATAAGAGTCTCATGGACTTTCCTGCCCAGGCTGGCTTTGAACCGTGATCCTCAGATCTCAGCCTCCTGAGTAGCTAGGATTACAGGTGTGAGCCACTGGCGTCTGGCTTCAGTAACTTTTTGTTTTGTTTTGTTTTTATTTTGGGTCCGGTCGTGGGCCTGAACTCTGAGCCTGGGCCGCTGCCCCTCAGCTCTTCAGCTCAAAGCTAGTGCTCTACCACTTGAGCCACAGCACCACTTCCGGCTTGTTTTTTTTGCTTATGTGGTGCAGAGGAATCGAACCCAGGGCCTCATGCATGCAAGGCAAGCGCTTTACCACTGAGCCACCTTCCCAGCCCTGGCTTCAGTAACTTTTTAAGTACATTTCATCTTATGGTTAAAGAAACTGCCTAGGTGTGTGAATAAATATTCTCAAAAGAAAGTTTTGAGAACCCATTCAGCTCCACAGCTGCTTCAGGGCTCCTTCCAGTCACTGCAGTGCCTTTGCCCACTGTGGCTTGTTGCGTCCATCCATAATGGCAGAAGCATTGGAGTAGTGGATGAGCACAGCTGACTGTCTTGTGGTTGCTTGTCATTGCTGAACTCTGCATACCTGGAAACTATGCCCCACTCAGTCTTTTTTGGGTCTGGGCTGAAGTGTTTTTTTTTTGTTTTTGTTTTGCCAGTCCTGGGGCTTGAACTCAGGGCCTGGGCACTGTCCCTGAGCTTCCTTAACTCAAGGCTAGTGCCCTACCACTTGAGCCACAGCACCATTTCTGGCCTTTTACTGTGTATGTGGTACTGAGGAATCAAACCCAGTGCTTGCTAGGCAAGCACTCTACCCCAGTCTTATGGGCTGAAGTTTTGATAGTGGTAGTAAATGTGTCCCAGACTACTTACAAGTATGACATTTCTCTTAGTGCCACTGTCCACCACGCTGGCTTTTATGGCCATTTAAACCAAGTAGTAGGGAAGTTTTATGAGGTGAGATTCAGCATTTCCTCTGGTGTTTTCCTCTGACTGGTGTTTGGTGTCCTCAACTGATTGTTCTCTGTTTCATTTTTCTTAAGAATATATTTCCTGACATGTGTCTTAGTGAATATAATTTGATGTTTAATTGCCAAAGTAGAAGTAATTCATGTACCTCATTTTCAAGTGTGTCTGATTAGTAATTGTATAATAATATTTACATAGCACTTTTATGTGGTAGGCACTGTATTAAGAGCTTCCATATTTTACTCATTTAATTAATAATGAAATAGATATAAAATAATAAAAGAAAAAGTATGTTTGAAACTGAAAGTGATGATCATTGTTTCTATGATACAAAAACTTTATGGGTCACTTTGTTTTAATACCTGTTATACTCCTTAGGACTTAAGTTTACTGTGAAACTTTTCTTTTCTCACAGATGATAACATTCTTAGCAAAGGTGAAAAATTCAAAATCTTAAGCCAAAAAGATCCTGACATGTTGTAAAATTATATCCTGTATTACTGATAACCCAGGCAGGTTCAATAAAAGGTTATAAGCAGTATGAGACTGAGCAATAAAATGAATGGGAGTTGAGAGGACAGAAGAAAGTGAGGGGTTGACACAAAATAAGCTGACCTTTTCTGGTCACAGCTGTGGTCTGCAGCCTGACATTTATGGTCACCTAAATCTTCCAAGATTGTTCCTGTTGATATTGCAGCACAAGTAATAACTGCATCTCAAATTTAAATTTGTCTTATGACAATGCAATATAGATTTGTTCAGTGTGGGACCAGCATGTAATAGTCCAGGGTAGCTGACTAGAGGAGGATGATAGGCTATTTTCATTATTGCCAGGGTATTAGCCAGCAAGTTTTAAGTTGTACCCCAAAGAAGCACATACTCATTGTCATTTATTTTTCTTGAGGTTGCTTTTATGTGTTAGACATCGGGAGACTGAGAGGTAGCAGGAGATGAGCTGGCCCCTGTGGGGAGCCATTCCAACGCAGCTTTACTCCTGAGAAAGGAGGGCCAGCACCAGGCCAAGGACCCTGGAGGAAGAAGGCACACCTCCTGCTTCTCTTCCTTCCCCTCCATACCTCCTTTTTCGCCTTTTTTCCTTCCTACTCTGCCTGCACTCTCCGCCCCGCCCCCCCCCCATCCCCAGCTTCACTAATTGCTAATGTGGTTATATATCCAGATTACCCTGGCTGTGCTTGAAAAGAACCATGTCTTGAAAGCCTAACATGTGCCAGGCATGTGGTCCTTATTTTGCAGCAGTTTATGGTTGGATGAAGCAGACAAACAAGCTGAGAGCTAATTTTAATACACTGTGATGAATGGTATACTATTGGCTACTAGTAGCTTATATACAGCTTTCATTATTATCTGAATTTTATTGTTAGGCAGAAAATGTAATCAGTGAATTCTGCATTTTTGGTACCTTTTAATGTTTTATATAAGTATAGCTTTGTATTGTTAATTTAATATAATAATTTCTCTACCTTTTACCTCATAGGTCTTATTCTTACTTTATTGAAGTATCAATGGATGAACTTGATTGGATCAGAGTGATAGATCATTCACAGTATCTGTGCCGGTCTTGGCAAAAGCTGTATTTTCCAGCCCGAGTATGCAGGTTAGTTCTCATAGTTAATAAATGATTTTAATTTTTATTTAAGGAGATTTCGACTTTGAGAAGGAGCAAGCATTTTTTTTTCTTTCTAATGGAAGAAGAGTTTTTCAAGGTTATCAGCTACTGAATCAAAAGAAAACTTCAGGAAAATAATGTGTCTTATTACTTAGGAAGTACTATGAAGCTATTTAATATGCAATTTATGTATGGAAACATGGAAAAAAAAGGACAAGGGGGACACATGAGAAGTAGAAATGCCTTTTAAACAGCATGCTACATATTACAAATGGAAATAATGTTAGGGATGTGTTCTTCCCACAAAAGCTAAGGGAATTATTTCTGGAGGCGTTCCTGACAATGCCTAGACTAGGAGAGCTTTGGATGTCATGTGCATTTCTAAATGTCTGTAATCTGTCTCTAGTCAGTAGCCATCAAAGGGGGTTTGACAGAATAGGTGTTTATATTTGGTTGGCATGGGGCAAAGGAGGCTTAATGGGTGGGCTTTAATCCTCCCCTCATGCTTTCCCACTCCCCCCTCATTCTCAGTGTACTCTTCTCTCCTTCCCTCCTCATCCTCAGTGTCCTCTCCCTTCCTCCCCTCCTTCTGCATTCTCAGTGCACCCTCCCCATCTCCTCCTCTCCTCCTTATCCTCAGTGCACCCTCCCCTCCTTTCCTACTTCTCCCCTCATCTTCAGTGCACCCTCTCCCTACTCCTCACCCTCAGTGCACCCTCCCCTCCTTTCCTGCTTCCCCCCTCATCCTCAGTGCACCCTCCCCTCCTCCTCTTTTCATTGTCCCTTACTCTTCCCTTATCTACCATACACCTCCTCATCCTCCCCTACTCCTCCCTCATCCTCAGCACATCCTCCCCCCCTTCCTTACCACCCTAGCTGGTGTTATATTGCAGCCCTAGGTAAGATAGCTTTTAAAAAAGTATCCAAAAGCTGTTATTCTAGTGTATCGTATTCTCCCTTTAGTAATAAACCATCTTTTAAACTTTCTGAAATTCTGCATAACCTATACAAATTAATGAGTTTGGGAGTTGGGAAAGGTCACTAACGCCCTCTCAAATGCTGCAGTTTTGTTCTTCTGTAGTTTTCTCACTGGAAATTACCCTCTGATATTCTTTGCCTTCGAATCCAGAGGTCATATGCATAGAGTGGTTGAGTTCATTTAGTCTAGGTGGGGCAGGAATAGAAGAGAAGGGCTTCAGGGGGTGTAGAGCTGGCCCCTTCCCCCTGTGACCTTAGCTAGCCTCCTGCTGAGGCTGATGAAGTGCCGATGATGCCCTACTGCCCCTAGTCCCCTGGCTGCAAGTCACCTTTACACTCGGTGACCTCATGATCTAACAGCATTCGACACAAGAACTCCATAAACCATTTCAGCCTCTAGTAAAGTAAAAAACATCCCCTATATATTTTTTTATTATGGGCATGACTGGACACAAAATTGTTACCCAGGGATTCTCTTGTGTGAAAATGAAGAAAATCCATTTCATTTCCCCAAAGAAAGACTAAAGTGTTTCAGGTCTAGCAGTTGCTCTTTTATCAGAAGAGTTTTGAATAGATTAAAGTAAGAGACAAGAGATTGAGTGAAGATTCCAATTCTAAGAGCTGCCAAGGGATACTTGGAGAGCGGATGGAGGGCCCACATGTGGAGGAGGAGATCAAGTCTGTGTTGAGTCAGGTTATGATAGTAGGGTATTAAAACACAAACAGCATATCAGTTAGAGTATCTGATAGGGACTGAAGGACAGTATGTTTGTATTTAATTTGGAACAATAAGAACATGAGCCTAGAACAAACAATCATGAATATAATACCAGCCCAAACAGTTTAGGTGCCTTACTCCCCTGAGCTCCATTTCTAAGGATAGAAGCATGTGCCTTCTATTTTTTAGAAAACATACTTGTTCTTTATTAATGATATTATTTATATTCTTTCCTTACTTTATGTCTCATTTTAGGCCTTTGACAGTGCCAAGAAAACTTTGATGTGTTTAGATCTTGGCTGTATTCGTGATACCAGCTTTGTTTTTGTATGTCAGCACCAGACTCTAAACAAAACTAAGTGGAGGTAGTGTTGGAGATAGTAATGATAAGAAAAGGGAGTTTTTTTTTTTTTTTTCTTTTAATAGTCCTAGGGTTTTCTGGGCAGGCATTCCATCACTTGAATAATGCCTCCATCAAGGAAGGAGTCTTTATCCATATAAATAAGAAAATATTATATCTACTTTTAAAAGATTTTTAAATCCTTATATCCATTTTAACATTTTGACATTATTAACTACATCTGCCATTTGCAATAGTCAAGAATGCTAAGAATGACATGTTATCTAGGAACTTCACTGGACCAAAAAATGCTTTATTTCCTTGGCATGTAAGTATTCAGTCGTGCTATGTTAATAATATGCTTATATGTCACTTTTATTCTTAAGTGTCCTTTGCATGTTTGTCTTGCTTCTAACGCTAGAATTACAAATTCTTAGAGGCAAGAAATATAAACTCTTATCTTTTAGTATTTTTGAATAGTACTTAGACTGTGACCTTGTATGCAGTAGGTTCTCTGTAATTGTTAGTATGAATTGCATGGTGTCAGGGCACTGACACCATGATATAAAATGATATAAAATGAAATGATATAAATGTTAGTGTGTACTTTATTAGCTCATTTTATTTTTTTGTTCGGTTGTGAGGCCTGCACTCTGGCCTGGGCACTGTTCCTCAGCTCTTCAGTTCTCAGTGAGCTCTCTACCACTTGAGCCACAGCGCCACTTCAGGCTTTTTCTGCTTATGTGGAGCTGATGAATCAAACTCAGGGCCTCATGCATGCAAGGCAAGCGCTCTACCACTGAGCTACCTTCCCAGGCCTCTTATTAGCTCATTTTTATCAACATATGTATGAATGGTGGAAGGCTCTGTGAATGGAAGTGGCTGTGTACTGTGTAAAGGTTGCTTTCTCTGCTTTTCTTCAGGAACCTGAATTTTGAGGTTAATCTTGAGGATATGAGTGTCACATATTGATGAAAATTTTGTTTATTGTATTGACAAAAGAGATATTTTAGTGCTGTCTGAATCTAGGCAGAACTACATATAAATTAGCATTGTGGGCCTGTAGGCATGGCTCAAGTGGTTGAGCACTAGCAAAAAAAAAAGAAAAAGAAAAGAAAAATCAGCACGTATAGTAGAAAAACTGTGGGCTGTGGAGTTAGATATTACTCCTACCAAATGGATCATGAAAATGTGGTATATATACACAATGGAATTCTATGCCTCCATCAGAAAGAATGACATTGCCCCATTTGTTAGGAAATGGAAAGACTTGGAAAAAATTATATTAAGTGAAGTAAGCCAAGCCCAAAGAAACATAGGTCCCATGGTTTCCCTTATTTGCAATATCTAGTATATGTATGAGTCAAGCAGAAAAGGTCAGATAAGGTGATGTTAGGAAAATGAACCCTAAGATATGTATTCAAATGTTTTTTTTCTTTCATGCATTTGTTTCTAACCCATTTATAAGATTATTTCTTTGTTGCTTTGTATGTCCCTCCCCCACAGTATAACCCTGCTTTCACTGTATTTGATGTCGGTATAATTTGTGGAGGGGAAGGGGAAAAACAAGTCATTTAAATAAGGATACAGGTGGACCCATTGCAACAATGAGAAGTACAAGTTGTCATGTCGAAACGAACTTTACAACTTTGGTGGAGGGGGGGGAGGCTGGGAAGGGATGGGAAGGGAAAACAAAGGAAGAGGCTACAATGCTTGATAAGAAATGTACTCATTATCTTGCCCATCTATTTGTAACCCCTCTGTACAGTATTTTCACAATAAAAAATAAATAACAATTTAAAAAAAGAAATTAAAAAATATATAAAAAGAAAAGAAAAATCAGCACATATAGTAGAAAAACTGTGGGCTGTGAAGTTAGATATTACTCCTACCAAATTCTCTTTCCCCTCATATTTACATTGCAACCAAGGTGGGCATTTCTGAGGTGTTGTATCTGTATCCATAAAGAGCAGGAGCAAGCCTTTCTTCATGAATTTGCTGTTGCTTATAAATGCTGAGCACAGTGTCTGATCTAAAGTGGAGATTTTGTAATTAGTAGTTGCTTTTTATTATTTTTCCTAATTTCTGAAACCCTAACTGAAATTGGCCTTCAACTGGAGTTTGACCTTCAGAGGAAGAGAGCCACCCTGTGGGTCGTCTTTGTCTGTGGTGGCTCGCCTGTGAGAACGTAGCTTCTTTTCTCAGATGGGTCTTTTTGGTACTTTCTGTATTGTCAGTGTATATATAGCAATCGTAAGCCTGCCTGAAATAATTTTCTTTATCTTAATAATCTCATTACTTTGCATGTTTCCGGGAGTTTGTTTGTCCATGATTATACTGGGGTTTGAACTCAGTGAGTCACCCTTGCTAGGCAGGAGCTTTAGCCCTGAATTACACAGCCAGCCCTTTTTTTGCAGCTGTTATCTTGAGATAAGATCTTGCTTCCTGCCAGGGCCTCAAATGTATCATGATCTTCTTATTTTATACTTCCTACCATTGTTGGGATGACAAGTACTCACTACCATGCTTAGTTTCTTCTGTTAAGATGGAATCTTTAGGCTGGCTTTCTCTTCCCTTTTCCTTTCTTTCCTTCCCTTCCCTTCCCTTCCTTCCTCTCCCCTCCCCCTTCCCTTCTTTCTTTGGATGACAGGTGCACCATGCTCAGTGTAAGATAAAGTAGGTGCCGATGAATGAGAACACCACGTGGTATTCAGGCAGGAAGAGAAGTTTTATTAATGAACTGCCTGCCTCACTGTGTATGGTGGAGACCCATATGGTCAAAAGGGGCATGCCACTGTCCAGCCTGGGTGTAAGTAGGTGGGGGAGAAGGTGTGGCCAGGTGAGGTAAGGTGTAGCCACTTTGGGACCCTTCCCCAGTCCAATGGGAGGTGTGACCAGGGGCAGCCCAAGATGTGACCTCGGAGGAGGGGAGGTAACTGCTTCCAGGTGTGC